AAGATACCTCCAAGTATGCCCTCAGACAGTACGCCGTCACATCGACCTCCGCGCATTATACTACAGCTGTACTATCTTCATGCATACTTTGACGTATTCTCGTATATTATTATAGTATTCTCGTAATAACCTTATATTATTTGAAAGTCGTATATTATTATAGTATTCTCGTAATAACCTTATATTATTTGAAAGTCATAATATAGTCCCAAAACAACAATAAATACAAAGTTCCATCTCTTAATGGAGATTAATCAACCTGTATTGAAAATATGATATAAAGCAACAAGAAAAAATATTGTGACTGTGAAAACTTATATATTATTATTACCGAACGCATTTCCTTGTGGATACATCCCATAAGCATAGCATATTGTCTGCTCCCCCGGACACAAGAAATTGTGAATTCGGTGAAAAAACACAAACACGGATAATGGCTTTGCTTTTGTGGCTCAACACAGATTGTTTATCTCCAGTTTTGGGATCCCATATGATGATTTTCCCGTCGGTTGAGCAAGAAGCCAGCAGAGTGCCGAAGGGACTGAAGCAACAGCAGTGTACGTAGTATTCATGCCCGTTCAAGGGAGAGCAACTCACTTCGGAGAAATCATCGATGTTCCATAATCGGACTGTTTTATCTCCCGAGCATGTCGCCAAGTACTTGGTAGAAAAAGAACACCAGTTCACGTCACTTTTGTGAACGTCGATTGTGTGTACCAGAGTTGCCATTTATGTGGAATATTGGGGGAGTTATCTGAAACTCGGTGGTATTCACGATTCAAGTCACCGACATCAGTCAAAATAATTCAGCTCAGCTGACGGAACACCACGGCGGAACCCGGGTGTACATTCACCACGGACCCAGTGCGCGATACAGATCTATCGTGATTACAAAGAAGCCCAAACCAAATACAACATGAACGTCCGAATCGCTGACGACTAGTCACCAGACTGGTCACAAGATGCTTCCCAAACCACGGTCATGTCACGATCGAGATTCAAAACAACAGTAGGTGCGAGAAACTGCGAGATTTGAGGGTATGGCGCGCTTTCAGCACGTGGTGTTGTTTATTTACATTGGTAGAGTATTGACGACTCGCTACTGATTACCAACCAGACAGCGATTACTCATATTTATTACACTATAAAGATAATATGAATAATATTAATCAAAATTATATTTATTATTATATAATATGCAATTATTTTCATTATTTACCGAATGAATTACCGTTTGCTAACGTTATATAATTATTTCGGAAAAACAAAAGGTGTATTCACTGGCAGTTTATTGAAAAGTATGATGTCACTATAATACCATTTATATATAGTATGCCTGAAAACGATCATTACATAATACTAAAAAAGGATAATTTGCTAGTTGAAACCGGTTGACTGTCCATTTTATAGTATTTTTTTTAGAACGAATTACATTTACATTGTAAATTTCCACCCTCTATCCTCTGGCGACGCTGAAAGGGGGTGTTTAACAAATAGATTACCTGTATTAATTATGTTTTTAAATTATTTTGTATTGTTCGGAGGCATGCATGCATAATAAATAAATAAATAAATAAATAAATAAATAAATAAATAAATAAATAAATAAATAAATAAATAAATAAATACAAGAGTCCAAGATTATAAGAAATACTATTGATTTATAGAGGGCGCCTTATTACCCGGGGTCGTCAAAGTGTATCTAGTGAATTATCACTGGAAATGATCGTACGTCTATACGCTTCCAATTTTTTTTTTTTTTTTTTTTTTACGATTGCATCTTGATAAAACCACGTGGTATGATTTTGAAATAATGTTTTGGCTGTACGTTTACAATCCACGTATTTAACACAAACAATTGTAAGTGATTTTATTTAGATGTAATACTAGAAAATATATACATCCGCTGTTTGAGCCATTGAGCCATACGTCACGGTGTCAGACAGCAACCATGAACTGCCCATGTGGACCCACTGCACTGTGGACCTGCATGATTCATCCATTTAAATGCATCTGTTCAGTACATGTTAATTTATATGATAGGGAAACCCCCCAATTATAGCGTTCATTTCTACGTCGACGTCACGTAGTGTAAACAGTGTAACAATAATAATAACTGTTCTACTATAGGAATGGGAATACCCGTCATGTCATATGTGTATGAATAAGGTATGTTTATAGTGTGTACAATGCTGCAATATCATTTGCTTTTTGTCTGTCAATTTTGTTGGGGATTTTTTTTATATAAATATATGTTTTTTATAATGTCCTGTGTTATATTTGTTTTGTGGTTAGAAGTCCAATACGCCCCATATTTTCTAATGGTCAATGACAATCCCTTAAATATGGCGCGCTTTGAACGCATTGTTGTTTGTTGACATAATCCGGCGACATTAGGGATTTAAGGTTTCCTATAGTCATGGAGGTAAAACCTCCATGCTATAGTTGACCTAGCTGCGGTTCCGTAGCTCTTTGGTGCGACCTACAATCGAATTTCGCCCTCACAATTTCATTTGGACGTCTTTTTTTTAATTTTGTTGTTTTACGTCGAACATAGAGCTACGGGATCTATCACCGTTTAAAAACAGAAATCTGGCAAACGTAAATTAAATCGCTTTTGCTTTCGATTACGATGGTGTGACGTACCTTTATTGTGATTTGATCGCTGGATGAATAACATACAAACCTTTGTTTGCAATTTGTGTTTATAAATAAGCAATAATTTGTGATATTTTCAAATAATTACCGCGGAAACCAAGCAAATTTCGAGAAAACGGCA